TAATTATAATGTCTGCCATACACATGTTTTCATTTGATGTTTCAAAGAAGAATGTTGGATATTTTATAGAATTCATATCTTGGTAGCATCTCATATGTTTTAATTTGATTCCTAATCTAGCAACTCCACATATGAAGAAATAACATTCCTGGTGCTTCCCTCATTTAAAATGTGCATGTTCATGTGTGTTTAGTACAAACAAACTGCAAAGGGGTTAAGAATGCATTTAATGGTAACAACAATAAAAATAATTCAGAAATAATAATAGTATTTTATTTCTAGACTACCCTCTCTCCCCAAGTTTTTCCCATTGGGAATTGAGTATGGTCAGCAGATGTTTCCTCCCAAAATAGAATCTGATTTATCCCTGAGAATCACAACTCTATGTCTGATCTCAAATATATAGGAATTTTTACTGATCATAAAAGTACACTTAGAAAAAAATAAAATTGTTCGCAGATTTGTGAACTTTTCTGATTATTTTCAAAATTTAGTAAGATCTAAGAAGGAAAATGACAGAAACACCCATCTAGCCTCCTTCTTCAAACATCCATTAATATTTTGCTTTCATTGCCTGGAAGCATCTGATTAATCCAAATCTCCATTGACTTTGTTCCTGCTATAATCTGCTTGCTTGCTTCCTGGGTCTCTATAGTAAATATAGTTCATGGATTTAGATAATCAACTCTTCAGATAAAAATGACACTTTACCTGATGGTGCTTCAGTTGCTGCTTAGATAATTTACAGAAGAAAAAAAACAACTATCATTTCAAAAGAGGGTGTCTGTCTGAGTCTTTGTTCCCAAATCTTAAAAGCTAGACACCTGAAACTTAATGGTAATTAATATAAAATTAATTTGAATACATCTGTGTGTTTGAATCCTACTGTACCATATCCAATCACTTGGCACAGAAACTAACAGTTGAAGCTGGAAAGTCAAAAGACACCCAGAGGTAAACTAGTCAGGGTTTTTGTTTTGTTTTGTTTTGGGGGGGGGGGGGTTAAACCTAGTTGTGTTAACTCAGTCAGTCGTACAGTGTCAAGAAATGAAACTGTTTGCACAAAAGATATAGAACTACAATTAATCCTTCTCTTTTGCCTTCCTTGTACTCCTTCTAAAAGCGCATCTACATTGACACTGTGCAGTGGAACCTCAACAGGAGTATTCCAACTTAAGAGAGATTTGGGTTGAGAGCTCAGCTCATGTTTCACTTTGACATACAAGCAGCATTTTTAGTTAAGAGCTAGCTCCAGAGGGAGCACTGGTGCCAGGGGGAGTGCTAGCATGAGAGTACAGGGTTTTAGGGCTTCAAAGGAGCAGCCTACATGCCTTGTCCCTCCGTGCCTCCATGCCTTGTGCTCTTGTCTGCTTTGGAAGATTGCTGTCCGCTTGGCTCTTGTCCGCTTTGAAGAACTTTGGTTTAGTTGATTTTGTGTGGTTGTTTTTACTGGTGTGTTTGGCTTTATAGAGAGCAAGCGAGAGAGAGAGGCTGGAACGAGTACAGTATGAAGAAAATGATGCTTCTGCCTCTTCGCTTTGTGCTTCCTTGCCACAAATTTGTGTTTCTACCATTGTGCCACAACTTTGTGCTTCTACCATTTTAAAGTTTATCTTTCATTTTCATTGTTCCATGTGAATACACATTTATACATTATTTGTTGTTTATAAAGTACATTTTCTTATTTTAAAACATGTGACAAAAATGGGGGTTCAGGAGGTCAGAAGAGGTTAATAACATATCTGTGGGAAATTTTACTTTGATTTTAGATTAGTCATGGACCAAATTAAACTCTTAATTCAAGGTATCACTGTAAAGCAACATAGAACCAGTTTGTGAAGAACTGGTTCTGCTGTGTGAGAGATTAGATTGACAGGTCTGGAACCAACTTGAGGCCAGAAAATATTTACAATAACCACAGAACTTGCCTCAAACCCTTCTGCATTTTTTCACTAATGTCCAAGAGAGATGTGCAACAGTGCTCCAGAAATATCAGAGGTGAAAAATGGGGGAAAGTGACAGATAGGAGCTGAGGTAATCAATTACCCCTCCCAGGACTCAGTTAGCCCCTGCAATTACCCTTAAAACATTTTTCAGCAGCCCCCATTCTAGATTCCGTAATGCACATCAGCAGGAGTAGGTCTCTGCAATATACTCTGCATTTTGCGGAGGTGATTTTGCCCTGAAACTGGGATAATTTGGCATCTGCGACTGCACATTATTTAAAATGCACTGTGTACCCTTAAATATGCATTGCAGCATGCATTGGCAGTATGTGTTTTGTGGATACCAAAATTTTGAGTTATCTTGAAGTCACATTATAGTATCAGTGTAGATGGGAGCATAAGCCTCCATTTCTATTCAGTGTTCTGTTGTAGTTCTTGTTGTGTGCCTTAAAGTTATTTCTGATTTATGGTGGCCCAGAGGAGAACCTTTCATAAGGTTTTATTGGCAAGATTTCTACCAAGGGGAGTTTCTACTCCCCCCCCCCCCAAGAGACTGTAACTTGTCCAAGGTCATCCATTGTATTTCTATGGCCAATTGGAACCACTGTATCCAGAGTTCTAGTTCAGTGTGCAAATTACTGCAACATTCTGGCTCTCCATCCAGTTACAGGATTAGAATTTTCATTTTAGCTGAAGCAAAAATGCATGGCTCAATTTGAACGTGTTAACTCTGCACTCCTGTAGATGGGTATCCAATCCCTCTCTACTTCATATTATTTGTATTATTGCTTGGTATTTGAGGGGGAAGTGGGGAGTTCTGTGCTGAAGTGAGCTAGCCTGGAAGATCATTAATATATGTTTTATCTTTGTGATTGGGACAAGTAGAAGAATTACAGGTATCTTGTAAACTTTCAAAGTATGTGTAACCCATTATTTCTTCAGGACAACATTCAACAGAAATTGAAAACATAGACATTTGGATCAGGTGACCTCTCAATTTAAATAATGTTAACTTTGTTAAGCCTTTTGGTGCAACTTCCAGTTCATTACAGGCACACCAAGTAAAATGTCATGGATAAGGAGCATTTTAGCTGCCACTGAGCTTCTAACAAACTGTGAATACTTTCCTCTTCTGTTCATTACTCATCTGCCAGTTTATATTTAATGCAATTTAATGCAAAGGCTTCTTGAAAATAAAAGACCTCTAAACCATGACATTTCATCAGGATTTCAAAATCTAATATAAATTGCAAAGGTATATGTTTGTTCTTTCTATGTGTGCAGAAAAGTAGATTGTCCAATGATTACACTGTCAATGGAAATGCAGACTGTGGTATCACTGCCTGGTCCTATTATTGTTTTTCTTTTGTGCTGTTCTTGCTTATAACATTTTTGATTGGTCTCCTTCACTAGAAATGATTGGACTGTGGAGGAGCAGATTTAGCAGCAATAGTCAGATATGACCTTCTTCAAGGTGGTTGGCCATGTGGTATTTTTCCCCTGCCTTGACAGGATCAAGATGGCCACCAAATATTTGCAGATCCAACAGAGTTAATTCAACCTTTGGTGCTTCTGTGGTCTAAGCAGGAGAAACTGAATACTAATATTCTACTGGAATGACACTTCATTGTGTTCCGTTTAAAAAATCCATCATAATTCAAACACATTGCCATATAGCTCTTTGGTAAAGCCCTGAACAGGAAGGGGAGTTGTATGGTTAGATTTAGATTTCTGAGATGTATTTGAAGGGTTGCAGTCTGGAACTGGGAACTTTCTAATATTGATTTTTTTAAAAAAAAAATCAGAACTTGCATTAGGAATAAACCTGTCTTCCTCGCAGGGCTCTACCGTAAATCAAAGTGAGGGCCCCTCTGCAACATCCTTCCCAGAAAGAATTCTACCTTCTCAAGAACTTTTCTTTTAATATCCAAATTGCTAGTAAAACCTTATTTTTATGGTAAAATCGTCATTCCCCCACCACCAACCCAACACACATACAACTGTATCTCTGATTTATAATGAAAATGTAGTACATTGTTGATTGTTACTCTATTTTTCTGTTGGGGTAGAAAACAAGCACTTTGGGGGTTTTCTTCCTCCAGGGAAACAATATGATAGCTGGTTTTCTTTCACTTGGCTGTTGGTCCTGAGGTGGAGATAAATCTCCCAGCATTCAATGCCATTGTCTGTGATAGCAAGTTCTCAAATACAACTGGAACATACTCACTGAATCATTAGGATTTATCCACATGTTGAACAACCATTCAACAGATCCAGTCTAACTGACATTGTGAAAAGTCTAGGACTGCTGGAAATTTCAGCTATATGACAACTGGAGATTTACATGATTTGTATCCCTGCTGTTTGACTAATTTTCATTGTATGTGATGAGATATGATGACCCCATCTGCCTCTGTAAAAATAACAGAGTATATGTGAAGTTCAAGCTTCAGAATTACTGTCACATGCATACTTCTGACCCACTCTTGAAACATACCTTAGTATACCATATTCTTTTCAATAAAGATAATCTTTGGAATTTTAATTCATGCCTTATAATATATTAAGACGGATGTATACCATAATAAACTTGTGTTTTTTGGTTTTGGAGGAGTCATTGCAGAGATCAGAATTCTCAACTGACCTCATGCAAACTCAAATACCCCAGGACTCACCTTTCAGCTATTACAAACAGAGTGAAGATGCAAAGAATTGCATTATTTTCTGAGATCCTTCTGGGGTCTCAGCAGATGATGTAATCACTCAACCCCTGGATATAGAAGCACAGCTAAGCACTTATCTCGTGCCCTTTGCTTTCCATGGCCACTAAATGGCTTTGGGGTGCAACCTGCAGTTGCTGAAAGGTGAGTGAAGGATGACAGAGATGTAGCGTGGTTCCACTAGCACAACATTTATGCTGTGTATGCCTAGTGCATGATCTTGGTCTTGGTCTTTTTAACATCTGAAATGTGTGTGAATTTCAGTGCTTTAAATATAACCATATTCATAATGTTGATCTTCTTTTCCTCCCTCCTCTTCACTCCTACCTTCCAGGTCATAGCCTCAGCTCCACAAAGGTGACTCGTGCACAGACATTTCCCAGCTACACCTCAGAGCAAGATGAGGAACATGAGTCACACCTGGCACTGTCTAGCAGCTATGGATTCAGCTACAGTTCAGGACTCATCCAATGACACACACCTTGTGTCTGACCAGAGAGACAGTCTAGTGTGGAAGTTGCCTGTAGACCCTGGAACACTGCTTGATTCTTTCCTAGGTGTCCATGGATGACAATCTGTAGCGAAAAAATGAGGACATAATGTCTCAAGGCTGGTGACAGTGAAGCTGAAAGCTTGGATCACTGCTTTCCTGAGGCAGAATCTAAGTCTTTTATTTATTTAAACTTTATATTTGTTTTTGTCCATGTGTTTGGGTTGGATATTGGTTTTGTTTAAAAGAAGGAGAAGAAGGAATTCTCTTTGAAATTCTGATGGTGTGCAGATGAGGTTTCTGCATGACTGCAAGACTATCTGCTCCAAAGAAGCTGACACTTGCAGTTTGAGGCTTTTGCTAGTCAGTCAACCCTGTTGTTAATGTTTGCTCATCCACCATGGCCACTTTTATGTCCTAAGCATCAGGATATCTGCTGGGTCATTTTTACCCAATGAACAAAAATGTAATACAAATACTTCAAAAGGAATGATGCAACCCTCCCAACAATTATGCAGAGTTCTGTCCCATTGTCCTCAATGGGATTTATGCATAAATAACTTTAGGAGTGCAGCCTAAAGTTACAATTCTGAGAAGGAGCCAGGGACTCTTAATCAGATTCTTATAACTGCAGCTAATACACAAAATTGATAAATAGATAGATTCTGTCCATGGAATGGCATCATGATGCTTAGTAGCCTTTCAGAAAATAGACTGTGTTGTGTATTAAGAGGCCATTACCTAGAATATTTTCCACACCAAATTTTTATACCTAGATTCTGCTCTTACCTGTGTATGTTCCTATCCTAATTATCCACAGCTTTCCGCTGGGAACAGTGATTATAGATGTCAGGGGAAGACTGTCATAAAACATTGGCAAGTTCTTCCCACTGTAGATATTTAAATAGTGAAGTCTGAATTTACAATCAGTATACTTTTAACTCTGTATACTGTGCAGGTGAGAACTGAAACCACATCACTGGAGGCCAGCTCCATGTCCCATAGTTTTATAGGGCAAGATGCTTGACTAGTATAATGATAGATATAATTAAAGTTCAGTTCTTATTAATGAAATCTCGTAACTAACAACATGGATATGCTCTCTTTTTGTTGCCATTTTTGTTGTTGTTATTCTCACTTCCTTCTCCTATTGTCTAGTGCATCTATTCCCTGAACCTTATGTACAGCCATAGATGAGTCAGGACAAAATTTCACAGCTTCTTTGTATTGTTGCCATATTGACTTTTTTTTTAACTGTCCCTTTACAGTGGACAGCTGCATGCAACTGGGTTGTGCAATGCTAATTTCTGAGTTATATTAAATTTCTATTGACCTGCTATGCTCAATTCGATTATTTCCCAAAGAATAAAAATAAATCACACCAGTGAGTAAAAGAAGTAGAAAAGGGAAGGCTCTAAGTATGCTCTAAGAAGCAGTGTGTAATAATAAAATGTTGTTGTCCAATACATTCAAAGTCAGTACCTTCTACTGGGAATAACTATTGATTCACATTATATCAAGATAATACTGTATTTCTTCAATTGTAAGATGCACTGTAATTTTAGTACCACCAACAAAAATACACAGAATTTTTGTGTCTGCAATTCTAAAATGGACCCCATTTTAGAGATGTTTGGGGAAAGTGTGTGTTAGAATTAAATACAGTATTATTTTCTCATAACTCCAATATTAACGTCTCTGATTTTAAATAGTCACCTAATTCTGGCTATATTCCAAATATATTCCAAATTTAGATTCTGGCTGAAAAGACCACTAGGTTTTATTAACATATAATAAATGTTTCTCATCTGCATTTCAATCATATTCTTAGGCTAGCTTTGAAAATTAAAAATATATAAATTAAAAGCAGCCCTTCAAAATATGCTTCATAAAACAATCATAGTTTATTTTTTCCCATGAGGCACATAAACAGCATCAGAATAAATATGTGGCAGAGATGCTGAGGTCTTCCAAATTATACATTCAGGGCATCCTCACAAAGAAAGTCTTCTCTCTTTGAATGGCAAAGAAACACAAGGATGGATTCTGCTGGTTTTCAATATCACAATAGGCACATATGGAGGCAGGTAGTTTTTCAGGTGCCCTGGCATGAAACTTTAGTGGCCAAAGCCCAGAATTTCAAAGTTATAATGATATATCTGGATTGCTGTAGCTGGTCACTATTTTTAATGCAAAAGAGGAACAAGAAACAGAGCCTATTCAAGCTTGGCTTTGTGTCCAAAGCCAAATAAGATAGTTGGTGACTCCAAGCACTTGGGCTTTGGTCTTAGCTCCAAACAAAAATTGAAGGAAATACTCCAAATAAGAAGCACCTGGCAATAGCTATGGCACCATCTGTAGTTTCTGAACTACACTGCCTACCTCTGACCTGGGTGAGATCTTTACTTAGCACCTTTCCATAACCCAGTTTCATGCAATTTTCCACTGTGACAATAAAGAAAAGAGGAAAAAAATATCAACTGTCATTGGGGAAATGAGAATTCTTTGTGAATTGTTGTTTTATAAGTTCTCAACTCTGAAAGTGCTTGAGGAATAGCTCATTATATGGTAAGCACAGTAACTCTGAGCATGTGTAAAATGTGTGCCCTTAGGGGACACGATGCCTGTCATGGAATGCTACTTTCAGAGACCTGAGCTGCCAATTTAAAAAAAGAGTAATTCTGATAGGAAGGCATCAGGTGGGTCCGCACCTGCCCTGCATTTTAGAGATGTTATATAAAATCCATTGCAGAGTGTGAGATGTGTTATTAATTAGTAATGGCATAGACACAGTGGGAGGCATAAGAGTGGATGTGCAAAAGGAAATCCTTTTGTCCTGTGTACTTCAGCCTCCATAAAGGTCACTGTGATGAACGTGTAGGAAACAAGCCCCATAAGCACTAGAAACTCTAGGGAGGAACATTTGCCGTGAGCAGACTGCCAAGCAGTAGAGTTTCCTGCCTTTCATTGTTTTATCAGGCCAGCGCAGGATGTGCTGAACAGAAAAGTGTGAGAGTCTTCTCTCCCTCCATCATCCTCGCAAGACCATATTTTATCTATTGCAGTTTGAAACAGTGAAGAAAGGCTTTTCATATATGGTATGGGAGAAATGTCTGCTTTGATTAAACATTTATTGATACATAAAAGTGGGAGGTTTTGTTTCCCCCAAGCCTTTTCAGCAGTCTAAAAGGCTTCAGGTTTGTAGCCCTCAATGAGCAGCTGCTGATTATAGCTGGGCTGTGATATGATGGCATTGATGGTGTTGTCTCTCATTTTCTTCCTATCTTACCAACTGCATTTATTATTATTATTATTATTATTATTATTATTATTATTATTATAACAATAAACTTTATATCCCGGCCCTTTCTCCACAAGGACTCGGGGCAGCTCACAACAGAGTCAAATCATAGTACATACATAAGCAGAAAGCAAAAAGACAAGACATAATATATAGCCAGTAATCATAAACAAAAATTTAAGAATTGATATCACAATAAATAAATAAATAAATAAATTTCAACAGCTTCAGTGGTCAAATAGCAAGCTACCTGAAGTTATTTATTTGCTATACTTGTATACCGCTGCTTCTCAGCCTAGCTGGTGACTCAGCGCGGTTTATGTCTGGTCCTGGTTGTTTTCAATTAGTAGAAATTCTTCTAGGGGATCTGCAACAATATGCGCTTTCAAATTCAAATATTAAATCACATCCACACTTGGAATGTGGAGTAAGCTTTTTTCTTTTTTAAAACAATGCTTTGGCTGCTGGCCTAATATTTCCATACTCTTATCAAGGTTTTACACAAGGCAAAATCTCTCCATATTGTCCACCTATACAATTACTTCATTGTATTAAGAAGTTATAGATCTGAGTAAACATTTAATTGACTTCAGATAAGTAGTACCATCAATTTAGTTTAGATTCCAAATAATGTTTGAAGAGTGGATAATTCCTGTAGCATAGATGTATGGAATTTAAGTGAAGGAAGCACTATAAACACCCAGAGTCTATGTTTCTGTGCAGCCAAGAACAATTGGCCTAGATTCTTCCCTTGTACTAATTATTAAACATTACACCAATCTCTGTTTAGCATCCTTTGTTTATTTTAAGAAGCCACCTCTGCCCTTAGACTTATTTTATGTTGTATACATAGACATGCCCAATCCATATGTATTGTGCTTCAAGCAATCCAGGTTTATGCGTATCTTTCTACTGCTTAGAAGTTCAGTATCTGCAGGGAAATTATTCCTGACCAGACCACATTTGTGTGAACCACAAATACCACTAAACACCACTAAACTACCTCACTTCCAGTCCCAGCATACTATAGAGTTGCATTGAAAGACCTAAAGAGCAATCCTCTCCAAGAATGTGTTAGGTCCTCCAAGATATCACTTTGTACTTCTGGGGATAATTATACTCAGAGGACCTAGCTTTTTTTTAAAAAAAAACAATAGCTTCTTGATCTCCCCAGTGACATCATATGCTTCTATGGATGTAATAAAGCAAAATGTTTCTTTTGATTTAATAATTTCAAATTATTATTCCAATGTATTTTGGGCAGATAAGAAGTACAACACTAATAATAATAATAATAATAATAATAATAATAATAATAATAATTGTAAGAGATTTCTAAATCTGCAAAGGTAACCTTCTACATGAGACTATGCAACATTCTGTACCCAGATATGATGGCTCAGCAAACTCATCCAGACCAGATGGAGTTGTGGAGATGGCATCTTCCATGGGAAGTATCAAAATGGCTCATATTTTCCATGAATCTTTCTGTTCAAAGTCCTGACCCCAGTATGATCTCATACCAAGCTGAATAAAAAGCACATTTTACAGAAAAGTTGATGGCTGACATGTGTAATGGTCAATTTGTGTGATGCATTAATAGCAAGTGATTGCCTTCCCCATTCCCACATACACCCCACACATTATTTTTCCTAACATAAAAGTTAGCATCAGAAACCTACTCCATTTAAACCCATCCAAATTGCAGGCATGGTGCTTCCAGCACATATCAAGGTATTGTTGTGGACCAAGGGTTTAAGACCTACCAGTCCACTCAGTTGCCTGTACAGATCAGAGCCTTTGTGATTAGATTGGATTTGTAAGGGAAGCATTTACATCCTTCAATACCATGTAGTTTAGCTCTAATTTATTTCATTTTAACCATTGACAAGAAGCATAGATATAATTGTTTAGATAGTAAAAGGCTAAGAGTGTTCCTAAACTTTCAGAACATTCTTAAAGATGGAATCTAATCTGAGTTAATTATCATAACAGTAGGGATGGTTATTTTCAGTCCACTGTTAAAATGTGATTTTCTAATTGTGTAATTATATTATTATAGTTAGCCGATGGGACACAAAGTCTCTTCTTGATTGTCTTGTCTGATATTGCTGTTAGGTTTATTTACAAAGTTAATTTCTTATCCATCCCCCAAGAGTATCTAAAACAGTGATTCCAAAAATTTGGTCCTTCAGGGGTTTTGAGTTTCAGCTTCCAGAATCTCTGACCATTGGCCAAAGTGTTGTGGTTGATGGAAGCTGAAGTCCAAAACACTTGGAGGACTAGAGTTGTGGACTCGCAGATCTAAAATATAAAATTCAATATCAGTTGCCCAAATAATTGAAATTATAAATCAACCCTATCTGTTCCATGTATCCCAAATTTAGCCTCTTATTTTTCTTGTGGTTTTCTTAGAGAATACTGTGAGAAATGTAGTACCATATTTGTTGTCTCTTTTCACATGACTTTTTTGTTTTGTTTTGTTTTTTTGTTTTTAAAAAACAGTTATAGTTTTCTTGGTATGGATTACTTAGGGGTTTTTTTTCCTTAAGAAAATCTCACCTTTCAAATACAGCACATTAAGAAAGACCCAATTTCAAAACCATTAACAATAGGAGAGAAGGAATGTGATGCATATCTAGTTCATCAAGAAACGATTGGTTCTGGGAAAAAAGGTTGCCCTGCTGTTTGTCATGGATAGAAAGTAAATTAAATGTGTATGGGGCAAAGTGGATTTTGGCTGTTTTAAAATGGCATTCAGCTGCTGTTCACTGATGCTCTTTTTTGACTGAATGGTACATTTACTGTTATTTCTTGTTCTATTAATGGAAAGAATTAAATACACTGCTCTTCTGCTCTGTGTGATGTGATGATCCAGTTTTCCCTGTGAACCAAAGCATCTATGAAATTTGAATTAAAACCAGATTAAACAAATGCTAAAATGTGCAGTGTGGTTTTATTTTTATTTCGTCTGTGGAGCAGAAAAGTTTGGGGCTGAAGAAATTGTCAAAGCATCATAATGTTTGAGTAAAAATATAAATGATGCTTATTAGATATAAGACAAAATAATTTTAAAGTAAAAGAGCTACGGAAGTTCAAAAAAGGCCTTCATCCTGTGTATGACTGCTTGCTCACTTACTTCCAACAAAATTTTCCTATGGCTGAAACACTGGGAGTAGTCTGCAAAGAGTGATAAACTCAACATTTGAGTTAAAATAATCCTATTCCAATTGGGCAGCCAACTAAATTACTAGATTGCTCCTATGAAGAAGACAAAAGTACATACACAATATTAATTAACAATAGATTTCATTTGAAAGCAGGTCAATTCTTATCGTGTCATGATGAGAAACATGCTGTAAGTTTGGCAGAAAGGAACTGGTTGAGTCAGAATGCAGTGCTATCTATCTATATTCTTTTGCATTATTTTGGCTCCATCAAGCCAGACCCTAAATTCAACCCAGACAGCAGGATAGGTCTTAATCATTGGAAAAGTCTGAATAATGGCTTCTCTGCATTGATTATTGCCCAGCATGCCCTCCATGGCCTCTAAACTAGCCATTGGGCCTTCCAACATCATATTGGAGATGAGATTTAATCTACTTGATAGGTACTTGGCTACCAGTGCCCCTGGCGGCACAATGGGTTAAACCTTTGTGCCAGCACAACTGCTGACTGATAGATCAGCAGTTCGAATCCAGGGAGAGCAGGTTGAGCTTCCTCTGTCAGCTTCAGCTCCCCATATGGTAACATGAGAGAAGCCTCCCACAAGGATGGTAAAACATCAAAACATCTAGGCATCCCCTGGGCAACATCCTTGCAGATGGCCAATTCTCTCACACCAGAAGCTACTTGCAATTTCTCGCTCCTGACATGAAGAAAAACTTGGCTATAAAACAAATGCAGGCTCATTATGGGCCCCGATAATTATTTTCTAGTCTACCTATTTATAGCTCCACTGATATGCAGATATCAAAGTATTTTTGATTTTCTTGCAAAATCATTTTTGTTTTATGTATATAAATTATTTCCTAGCAGATACTTATAGTTTTCACACATTTTTATTTTACATATGTGAAAACCTTTCTTCAGTTTCAAAGGAAGACAGAAAATCTAGAATAGGTATAATTTTACAGAAGAAAATTCAAGCAGGTTGTTCCAGCAGTAAAATCAATGCACTTCTGTAGATCTTGCTTATTCACTAAGAAGCCACACTTGCTTATCCAGTATGTGTACAAATCATGTCTAATCATTGTAGTTCACATATACCGGTTCTTCTATTTTCTCAAATGTTGCCATGTTTTTTTGTCTCCTTGCATTTACTTTGCGGTGGCATCCAGATTCTCCATAGTTGTGTGAAAGCTAGAAGAGTAAAAAAGATGTCTATGAAGAATAATTTTGCAAAGAGCTGCTTCAACTTAGAGCTGCTTTTCCTATTTCATATGTCAATTCAAGCAAATAATTATTTCAGTGGAAGACTGTAATAATTTATGTCTGATGTGTCTGAATTCTCTGGATATAATTCTGCATCAAATTCATGTATAAGTCTCGAAGTGTAAATCAGAAATTGACCTCAAAGACTGGATATACTTATCCATGAGTCAATATAAATATAAATATAAATAAATAAAAAAGAGCAATTCTCTTCTCTCTCTTCTCTTTACAGCACCATTTTCAAGTGCTTGGGCAGGAAAATGGAAGCAGTGGTGCTGGCTCCTAGTGCAGAGAAAGTAGAGTGGATCAGTGCTTGCCTTTTGTCAGTCTACTTAGATAAGCGCATGGTTCCTTTTTTTGTTGAGAGTTACTGTTTTACCTTAACTTTTATCAAAAACAAGGAATCACTTCCTTCTCTGAATAGAATGGTGTAAAACATTTGTGAATGCCTAGCCAGGAAAATGGTAGTGACCGGTGGCTGCTTGAAGTGGCATTTCTACAGAATGGCCCTCAACATATCCATGGATCATATTAAAAGCCACAATTTTGGCTCCAAAATCCACCCTTGACTTATACATGAGGTCAATTTATACATGAGTATTTATGGTATCCTGCCCAACCCAGAGGTCTCCATGTACCTACCAGTTTATGGTGTTCAAAAAGTAACAAATAAATTCAAAGAAGGGGCAGAAAAACACGTGGCCCTCCAGATATTCTTAAACCTCCTGTCATCTTAGCTAAATTGGTTATAGATGGAGTTAGTCTATACAGAGATTTCCGTCCTTGATACATCCACAGTGATCTTTTAATATTCACAAAAATCGTGATACTCCTGTTGCTGCTCAACTACCATTGCTGCACTGAATATTCTTCAGCTCTTGCAATGCATTTCAGATACAGCTAAACAAATTACTAGTAGGAGATAGCTATTTAAAATTCCTTCCTTGCTTTACTGTTTCTCAAAGATTTTTGTTGTTGTTGTTGTTTAGGCCATCATTTTTAGCTACCAGTATATTTTCCATGGTCGTTTCCACCAACCTAAGTTTAACTGTCTCAATGAGTGAACAGCAGATCAATGTGTAGATTCATATACCTTCTCTAGTGTGGATTAACAATACAATTGAAGCTGCTAGTAACAAGAAAACAAAAAGGTCCTAGAACACTATCTAACCAACTCAGGTCTTCTCACAGATAAATATGCCAGTATGATTTCTGAACATGTAGATTTTCTAAATTTGACAAAAACGGTGTGATGTTAACATACGTAAATCCTAATGGAGTCATCCTGGTAACATTTGATATACAATAGAGTCTTGCTCATCCAACATAAACGGCCCAGCAGATGTTGGATAAACAAAAAATATTGCAAAAATGTTGGATAATAAGGAGGGATTAAGGAAAAGCCTATTGAATGTCAATTTATGTTATGATTTTACAAATTAAGCACCAAAACATCATGTTTTACAGCAAATTGACAGAAAAAGCAGTTTAATACACAGCAATGTTATGTAGTAATTACTGTATCTACGAATTTAGCACCAAAAACTTCGCAATGTATTGAAACAGCTGTGGATTTTGGCAGGAGACAGACTGTGTTGGATAATTCAGAATGTTGGATGAGTGAAGGTTGGATAAGTGAGACTCTACTGTAATTTACACATTCAAGGAAGACATCTATATGTGTTTCATATGCAGAGCATTCTTTGTTTCTGAGATATAATATATAACACAATAAGCAATTCTCCATAAGAAACGGTAGCCAAGCTCCCTGGACTCCAGCTGATGAAAATAGTTTAAAATATATCTACAGTCTTCAAACATCTTCTTCCCTCCAATTCTCATCCAAAATTAATGGTGCCACTTCAATGCACAAGTTATCACTGCTTAATAATGCCTTTGGGATGGAAAAGCAGTGCCTTTTGTTCACACTCACCCCTCCCAATTTTTCCAGTATTGGAAAGAATAAAGCCAGACAAAGAAAGCAAAATCCTCAGGCTCTCAGACTAATAGAGCTGTGCCTTTACATGCTAGCCAGACATCAAAAGCTGAGTGTTTAAGTATATGGGGTAAGAAGAATGAAACAGGATTTGCTCAGGCAAGGCTTCCTCTGGAGGGAAACAACAACAGAATGTATGACATCCTCTATGTGACTCGCAAACACTATTGGCTTATTACAGTGCCATGACAGGATCCATTAGGAGCAATATCTGGTCTGGGAGCATCATAAACAAAATGACATTTGGTCAGCTTGACATGAATGCAGAGTATTAAAGGTTCACTACCTGACTTTTCAAACAACTGTTCTTCTTTCAAAGTACAGTTTCTACTGTGAAGTAGATCAATCGGTCTATACTTTTGCTTTTGTGATATATAGATGAATTCTAAATAGGACAGCAGCTCATGACTTCCCTTCGCCCTTCACCCCTCCCAAAACCACAATCCCTACTTCTTAACAAGTGTGTAGTTTGACACATATTACTGAAGAAGATGCTGCTTTCGCCCAACTGCACATGGCGAAAATGGTCCTTAAAAAATCATGCAAACTGGTAAGAATGTATCCAAACTAGACTAACCTGGGTTTCAGCAACACAAAAGGTATTCATCTTCTTCCTTTCCTTCTTTTCCTTTCTGATAAAAAACAAAAAGTGTTATTGTCACCATATTATAAAAACTAGATATTATGAGAGTTTCACTAAAATGTCAGCATAGAACTGAACATGGGTCATGCTTGCAGGAAAAATCCACATTTTAAATACATGCTTAATTATTAATTCAATCAGCATGTAGTAATGTAAAGTTCTGTTCTGCACCTTCATTAGAAAAATATCTTCTGATCACTTTATGATTTAAAAAACACAACTCTCCTGGACCATAAAGGCCTTGGAGACCTAAAACATGGTGAAAATGCCCCTCCACTGACTCTAGGTGATGTTGGGACCCATTTGGGGCAATATATGGTGGGGAAATATCCTGGGGTATGTAGTGGAGTTCAATCTCCAGGGTCTCCAAGGGGACAAATATAACCTCCTGTTCCAGATATTGCTGAACGACAATGCCCATCAGTACTAACGAGTATAGCCAATGGTAACAAATAATGAGGTCATATTCTGACAACATCTTCAGAGACACAAACATATCCCACACTAAATGTTTTCATGATTCTTGGGAATGAGATTTTCCAATTAGAGAAGAGGAACCATAAATTCACAACCTTTTTTCATATATTGCTTACGGATGTACTAGGGGCTTACTCTCTGCCTTAATTTTAAAAGTTGCCACTGCAGTCTCTTTGTAGAAAAGCTGCTATTAAAAATTGTCACCACCACTCTGTTCTACCTCAAGCATTCAAAATGGCAGGCACACAGCAATATGCAGGCTCCATATTGCGTGCCAACATGAGCTAAAAAGGAAGATGGAGGGCAGCCTTTCTTTTTCTGATTTGGGCATAGGACGGGTAATGTTGTGGTACAACATGATATTAATGTTACTACTACTGGTAGAAGGGAGAAGAGGGCTGTGCAGGTGTTGGAGGAGGAGCAGCAGCGAAAGCGGATTAGAGACATATTCATGGCTCCAACTGATTCCAAGTCCTTTGAGGGTTTCTCAGACTGTGAAATGGGGGAAGGAGAGGAAAGCAGGGGAGTTAAGCGGGCTACTTGAGAACAAGAATCAGATGAGGAGATCCAAAGGAAGCGTATCCGTGATATACTTAGCGCTCCAACAGAAGATGAAGACTTTGTGGGTTTTGAAAGGTGTGATGGGACTGGGAGTGACGATGGGGAGGAGGATGGTTTAGACTGGACCTGTGTACAGGAAATTAGGGACATCTGTACTCAGCCTACATCCAGTGATGACTTTGAGGGGTTTGCAGAAGACTGGCAATCTGGGAACACTTGGGAGGACCGAAGTCTTGAAAGACGCTGGCAAAAGTGGAGAGATGGGAGACATTGCTCAGCTGCAGGGAATGGGGCAGCTGTAAGTGATGATGAAAGGGTGGTTTGAAATCAATGGGTCTTTGCAGAAGTCAAAGTGTCTTATTGGGTTTGGAACTTTGTTACTGCCATTACCCTCAAGTTTGGGTCCTTGGACTGCAGATCTCCGTGTTTCCGTGAGTTCTGGCTGGAACCTCATAAGTGCAGACTTCTACCTTCCCTTTGACTCCGGACTGTGTTTTGACGACTTCGCTTTTTGGACTGCTTCATCTCATTTTGGATGCGCCTGGACTTCGGACTGTTTTTGGACCTCGATTTTGCATGCTCCCACCTTGTTTTCTTGTGCCTTCTGCTGATACTTTTTGTTATCCCAGATTATACTCTAGTATAATCCGGATTATATTTAAGTTATGTTTTTTGCTTAGCGGTTGCTATAGACTCTTAGTTTGTGCTAGAGGCACTGAGTTAAGTGTCTCTAAGCCTTTTTTGTGTTTAATAAACCTTTGTTTGGACCTTTTATATTGTGTTTGGCATTCTTGAGGCTTCTGGATCTTGACAGGTAATGTGGTGGGAACACTTTTGCCTCTTCTCATTGACTTCACACTGAGTTTCTAGTCCAGCACTGACCCCTGTTTAAGTTGTCCCAGGTTTGGGGAGACCATTTTTTTTTGTCAAAAACCGATTCTATATAGTAACTGTCTTTCATAGTAAAGTGCAAACTGCTTACCTTCTGTGCTTAAAAATAGTCGTGACAATGGCTGAAATGATAATTAATAGTATGATGGCAGCAGCAGTGATATAAACAATATGTTGTATGGAAACCAAAGGATCTAAAAAGAAAAGAAGAAGGGAACATTAAAAATGTTGCTCAATAAGGAATCGGTTATTTATTTATTTTAGTATGCATATTATCCAGGCATATTATATCACATGCCAAAGATAACAAATTAAGGTCAAATGTGTACCATTAGAATACATGAATGCATGACTATATAAAGACAGACACACACTTGCACACACTATAGTTAGGTGACAGATAGCTTTTATCATTTTTTGTACTTGGACCTCTTGGCACAAATACAGTTTGAAAATTGGAGGCTGAGATGACTTTCAATTGGGGAAAAAACCACAGTTATGGGGCAATACCCAAACAGCTACAGATAATGAAGGAAATGGCATATTCTATCTGTATTGGCATAATATAACAAGCTGCCCCAATATGAAAAGCCAATGCACTATCCAGGACTGGAGTTTAATTCTAGCTCTGAATAAATAATATTTTAAATAATGACTTCCTTGTAAAATAAAATTAATTTTAAAAAGCTAGAAAAGGTAGAATACTGGTTGATGAAAGCTAACATTCTCTTTGGAAGGCTAAACTTGCACCCATCAAGAATTTTTATTGCATACCTTTTTTGTACCATATTTATTTTTAAGAGCTTCACTTTTTAACTATGGAGTTTAATAAGATAGAAAGGTGAAGATGATCAAAGTGGCATTAAAGGCAAGGGCTAGAATGCTCCAGTCATTACTCCAACACAAAGTCCTTTCTTGGATATTTTCCAAGAAAATGCCCAATACCTTCATATGCAAGACTTTCCAACTCAGCAACAGAAAGGCAACCAGATAGTGGACAAGCAGCCATTCATTGATGGCCTGAGTGCCACCAGGAATCATCTGACTACCACTATGAAGAGGAAAACAGTGGGCTTCATTTCCAGTACAAGTAGGCTGGAAAAGCTGTACATGCCACTAGTGTCAATCTAGGCTAAGGAGTCAACAATATTATTTTATCAGCCATTGAAAATATTAAAATATCTTCGCTTCAAGAGGGTTTAGCCCAAGAAACTGCCACTGTGTCCCTTCAATATCAATGATACACAAGGCAAAACCAAAATCCTTCAGATTGTCATCTTCTGAAAAGGGCAAGATATCAAGGCTCGCAGTGCTTTGTACTGTAAGCAGATAATAAAGCCTGTGCTTTATATTGTGAAGGAGACTTCAGATATCATCTCTTAATAATAATAAAGAAATCCTATAGTCACCTGCAACACCTATGTAAAGGTTTGTTTCCTGTTTAATATTGAAAGGAAAAAGAGAGGGCATGCTTTGAGAAAGACTTCAAAGTGTCTTATACTGAAAAATCAAAATATTGAATGCTGAGAGAGGATAACATGTAACAACCTTTCCTCAGACCTTCTTGAATTTTATTTTTCTAAGAACTTAGTAAAGCATAATGTTGATGTTCCCATATTATAGAATGAGACGTGGAACCAGGATATGGCATGCATTTTTCATGGATATATTAGTAAGCATAGAAGATGACCTCTTGGTTATCTCTAAAATTCCAGTCTAAATCTCTATCTACATTTTTTTTTAAAAAAAAAATTAAAGTATGAGTTTTGCTAATCAGTTATTTCTATACAGGAAACCACTTATGTAGGTTATAATCCCCAGCCCATTTGGAGGAATGCCTTTGTTGTTGGCAAAAAAAAGTAGCCACTCAATATAAATCGACACCAAAGAACCTAAGGAGTCATAGCCCAGGAAGAATAATCATTAGAGCAGAACCATTGCTGAGAAAAACTGTGGGTTGTCTGCTTTCCTGTGGGTTCTGGACTTGGGTGGAAGAAGGATGTGTTTTGTTTGTGGTGGTTGCAATATCATGGGTTTATATTTGAAAATTTTTGATTTATTCTATGTATATCCATGGGTTTGAGGTAAGTAGTGGCCAAGAGGGGAGAGATAATAGAATATTGTTGTGAAAATTGATCGGGAGAATGCTTGAACTTTGTAATAATTATTTTCCTGTGCATCTTTCTCCCATTCCTTTCTAAATTTTTGGAGAGGTGGCCCTTTTAAATTTTTGAGAGAGATGCAGCTAGGCCCCTCAAATACATTAGGGGGATGAAGGGCTGAGAGGGGAGGGAGCATCATCCTGCTCCTTCAGGTTCTTAGAACCTGAAGAAACAGGATCGCTGTGGGGATTGACCCCTGGAACTGTGGAAGCTGTGGAAGATCTTTCCAGGTGTTTTATTAATTCGAAGCAAACTGGTTTTGCCCGAGGGCCCTTCCAGACAGGCCCTATATCCCAGGATTTGATCCCAGGTTTTTTGCTTTGAAATAGATTATATGAGTCCCTACGGCCAGATAATCTGGGATAAACAGAAAACCTGTGATCAGATCCTGGGATATAGGGCCTGTCTAGAAGGGCCATGAGGTGTCATTTGGATGACTCAGGTAAAACTGAGAGAGAGCCCAGGATATGGGCCTGCCTGGTTAAAATATACAACACCTACATTTGGTCGCAGTGGTGCAAATGCCAAAGCTTGTTGCAACAATTGAATTGCCCCAATGTAAAACCTGTAGTTGGTGGGATAAGAGTTGGACAAACCCCACATCTGACCACAGCAGTGGGATAAAGGATAAAACAATCATATAAAAGCTACAAGCCCCATATCTGGTGGCAGCTGTAAGGTATGCCTGAATGGAAAACCTCATAGTGATAGTTTGCTTTCTCCTCCTTGCTCACGACCTTTTCAGCACATTAAAAGCATGACAACTGAGGATAGCAGCAACTGTTGACTCATATAGAATCATAGAGTTGGAAGAGACTACATGGGAGACCTAGTGAACACATACAAAGTTCTACTACAAACTTTTAAGAATCTGTCAAAGACACTGAAATTATTTGAGCTTCAGCCTTTTGGATAGCTTCTTTAAAATTTGGACTCCACCTCAGAGTTCATTCACTGAGTCAGTGACATAGAAGCTACCCATAAATGATTTTCAACTTTCTTTAGTCAAACCTCTGTTTTTCTGTCTTTTGTGATATGTAGTGAATAGCTCCAGCTCTGTACAGCTTGGTTAACCTGATAAGTAATGATTTGTCATGTTGGCTTTTGTTAGCACATGATCCCAACTTTTAAGCAAGATGTTATGTTACCTATTCTTAGGCGAAAACTCTGGAAGTGAGGTGTTAGACTGGTATTTTCGATAAACTACCATTTGTCCTCAATATAGGGAGATGCACAGTGGTAGTCAGCCAATTAAGTGCATGTGCCCCACAGAGTCCATGCCAAGTACCCAATTTGAAAGTAGTAGTATGGCCAGCAAAGTCTTAAATTTCTTCATTGTGACTCATGCCCTCCTGATGTTTGTGCATCTTTGATATTTTTAGTCAAGCATAGCTACCAATTTTAATGCAACATCCACAGTTTCCAAAAAACAAACTCTATAAGCCAGTAGCATATTGTTTACTCCTGCCTTATCTTCATGGGAAATACAGGAGCCGATTAAAGCATGTTCTGAACCTTAGTTTCATTTCCCTTAAGTGCTGCCCAAATGCAGTAGTTTATATTGATGGCTTGTTGTTGTTGTTTTTTCCTTCACAGGATTCCAGAAATGTTGTGGGTGAGTGGTTTCAACCTTCACAGTCTCGCCTGCAGGTTTGCTGTAGAAATGTTGACAAGTTTGACAGTTGTAGCAGGCTAAAACCTAATGAGTGGTTTGAACCACTTGTTCTTTGCCTTGCCACAAAGAGGTTTACAACATTTTGCAAGCTAGAGTATGCAGAACCAAGGCTATGACAGTGAGAAACCCCAGAAATACGTTCAAGGCTAGGCGAAGGCATTTTTCACCCAAGCAAATGTTGCATATCTGATGTGATTTCCCCCCAGTTGTTTGTTTTGTCAATCAAAATCAGTCATGTGATGAACTTTTTATCATTTTCATACAATTTGTTCCTGAGCTTTAATCTTGCCAATCACACATAAACAACTAGCATTCTCTGCAGCCCTGCAGAATCCATGGTTTCCTAAGATACAAACTGGGTAGAAAGTGGAAACCATTCACTGTTTAAATTACAAGGACTTCTACAGAATTTGTGTTAGGGAAATGTAAATGAGTACTTTCTTATTTTTAGCATATCCATACTGTGGTCTATGATCATGGTACAGTCGACAACAACACTAATGGAGAATGCAACTTTAAAGTCCTGGATATAAAATCTAGATCTCCAAGGTAACATTTTCAGAAAGGCACAAGTAAATAGAAAATAACATGTATATGGACTGTTCATCACTTTTAAAGCAACCTTTCATTAACATAATGTCTCTAGATGTTTTTAGACTACATCATGTTTGGTAATTGAACTTGACATAGGGGCATAAAGGGAACTGAAATAAGGTAACATCTAAAATCCTAGAAGTTTGTTTTAGGGTTATTACTTGTACTGACATAATTATCACAGAATAAGCAGTGATATCCAGATTTAAAGGTGATTTCCTTTAATGTCCATTTAGAGATACAGGTTGAGTATCCTTTACCTGAAATGCTTGGGACCAGAAGAGTTCACTATTTATTTATTTTTTAAAAAAATGTAATATGTATATATGCATAATGAGAAATCTTGAAGAGGGAATCCAGTCTAAACATGAAATTCATTTTTGTTTCATATACACATATATACTATTTTTAATTTAATTTTATTTTTTTGCACATGAAACAAAGTTGGGATAGATAGACAGAAAGCAGAAGTACAGTAGAGTCTCACTTATCCAACATAAACAGGCTGGCAGAAAGTTGGATAAGCGATAATGTTGGATAATACAGAGGGATTAAGGAAAAGCCTATTAAAACTCAAATTACATTATAGTTTTACAAATTAAGCACCAAAATATCATGTTTGAAATCCAAAACACCTGGAAGACCAGAGTTTGAAACACACTGATATAACCATCTCTAGAATCCCATATTGAGCATAGAGGAATGGCAATACTGGAAAACCAAAGTTTGCTGAACACTAATATTGGTCAACTGTCTCCAGAATGTCATCTGGAGCTGGTTGGCTCTGTGTTTGGAGGGAATGGTTTGTTCCTTCCACCCTAGCAAAATAGGGCTGAACTGGATAGTCTCTTAAGGGAGGGGGTCTCTTGCATTTCTAGGTTTCTATGCCTCTAATTATTCTTGTTTAGGTTTGAAGAGGAGGAGGAGGAGAAAAAGGCAAGAAGTGCAAGTTGCTACAAGGCTGTCAGAGATAAAAGAGGGAGAAGGAGAAGGAGGATGAAGACGAGAGAGTGCGTGGGGAAGAAAAAGGAAGGGAGAAGAGAGAAGGGGGGTCTGGAGCAAAGTTTGTGCCTTCTCTCCCCCCTTTCCTTCCTTCCAGCCACAAGCCCCCCCCCCTCCCCCTTGATTTGGAAACAAGGCTGGGTTGGAGAGAAGTCTCCAAAGCATAAACCAAGAGCAGAGAGAGAGAGGAGACCAATCACGTTTCCTTTTCCTTCCTCSCTCCCTTCTTTTTTCCCTCCCATTCCTCTTTCTCTTTTGATTCACCCCCACCTCCCTCCCTTCCCTTTGGAGATGTGCTTTCCTCCTTCTCCTCCCAGTTTTTGCACATGGGGAAAGAAAGCCACCCACTTTCATAAGCACATATCAAAGGGTGCAATGTTTCCAATCAACCACATGGTGGTGTCGGATAATACAGAGTGTCAGATGAGTGGAGCTCGGATAACTGAGACTCTACTGTATTATTATTTTAGACACCTATATATGGTCAATTTTGTATTTTGGCATGTTTTGGATTCCTGAGATGTTCAAATTTTATTATGCACCTTTAAAATAGTTTGTTGTTATAATTTCTATTGTTATTATTGGCCATTATTCTGCATCAGTCATTTAGTTAAAAGTACTTAACTAAATAACCTCTCCTGGTCTGACTACCCAAGCCTTATGAAAACATCATTGATCTTATGCTCTGATTACTGGCAAAATGGACCTACTTTTCCCCATCAAACGGATGACCAGTAGGAGGGAGAGAAGGATTGTGATCATGACAATAGTGTTACAATCATGACTAAGTAGCAATCATGAATATGGAACAGTTATCTCATCTGTAACCAGAAGGGGAAACAATCTGGGAATCACAAAGGATTAATATGAACAAAGAAAATAACAAATATTTCTTTAATACTTATTTACACTCCTTGCCTAGGGATCTACCATCTTAAAAATAGTTTATTTGGATAAACAACTTCCTTGGACTAATCCATGTCTTCTCTGAGTAGTTAAAAGGCATATCTGATGGCAATGAAAGCTCTTTGCCAGACATATTGGAAAGCTGCTGTGAGCCTAAGTAGACAATATGGGGCTAAATGAACTATGGATGTAACTTTGTAAAGAAGACTTTTACAGGTTCAAAAGCGCATTCACATTAAATCCAAGTGCTTTCAACACGAACATAATTGTGAGGAAAGCCACTTCAACCAACAAACGTATGGCCACATCTGTTTTGGCTGCTTCTTAATTTCCTTTCTAGAATTGAAAAGGCAAGACTTCAAACATTTCTTTGTGTCAGTCATATCTTCAAGGCAATATGTGCGAGGCAGTATTGTTCAAAGGCATCTATCTAGTTTTGCTTCCCTTCCATCCCTTATTTAGCAGGAAGAGTTAGCTACAAAGTCATGTTGAAAAACAAAACAAAAAATGTTTGCCATCTTTCCCTTACAGTCTTTCCTCTTTAACACTTATCTGTTTTCTTTTTTTCCTGCCTAATTTTAAATTACCACAACTGAACTTTGTGGTTTTCTCGCCTCCTGCTTCAAAAATAGCTTTTCAGACAAATATTTTGTGCTAAGAAGTGAGTAATTTCACCTACAGCCTACTGAATATTTGCTTGTGAGGCATTGTATGATGTCTTACATTATCTGTAATAATACCTATTCCCTTCACTTAACTTACCATTGCTTTTAATAGTCAGTTTTGTCCAACCAGTTGCGTCGTTACCATTTTCTCCAATGAAAGAACAGCGATATATCCCAGAATCAGAAAATGTGATATTCCAGAGAACAAGGGTGCTGTTTGCTTGATTGGCACAGCGTGTCTTTGCCCGCTCTTGGTAATCAGAACCATATATTGGCATAGCAGAATTAAGGCACATGCTTATGAGGTCCACATGATCTATTTGGATCCATTCCCATACCACTCGATTCACAACTATATTTGGATCATGCCAATGTGTTATGGTAATCTTTCCCCCTGATTCAATAACCCGGGAACCTTCCAAAGCCTGTGGATCCAAAAAGACTCGGGAACTGAACTCATCTGCCAAAAAAGAAAACAAAGAAGGCAATAAGTGAAGCTATAAAGAAAGACATAACAATCACAGTTATTACATGGATGTCCTTCAGCACCATTCAGAAATTAGTTTCTCCTTGAGAAGAAATGGTGCTTCAGTAGTTCAAGACACTGTTCTAAAGAAATTGTCAAGTGCTGCATTATTTGTCGGCCCTCCACAGGTGTGAAAAGAACACTGCTTTTTAATATATTTGTTTTGCAAAACTTTCACCAAAATGTGACAATTCATTGAAATTTCATCAAGACAGTTGCAGTCTATTAGGCATAATACATAGTGTAGCAGCAGTCATGATTTTCCAATTTTTTTGTCCAATTATAGGGTTTCAATCTTCAAGGCTTATATTTTGTAATGGTATTTATTTATTTATTTATTTATTTGCTTTATTTTTATACCGCATTTTTCAGCCTAATTCGGCGACTCAATGCGGTTTACAATGCAATTTATATAACAATAACAATTAGTTAAAACACAACATATACGACAGACAATACAAGACAACACAACATAGTCATCAACGCCTCAGTAAAAATCAGATTCCGTTCTCATAATCCTTCTACCATTCCTTGTTCATTTATACCGTCTTCATGAGTTCTGTTGCCTTGTTGACCGAACGCCTGTTCATAGAGCCACGTCTTGACCTTCCTCCGGAACTCCAGCAACGAAGGGGCCTGCCTGATGTCTGACGGGTAGGGCATTCCATAGCCGAGGGGCCACCACTGAGAAGGCCCTGTCTCTCGTCCCCGCCAAGCGCGCCTGTGACGCAGGCGGGACCGAGAGCAGGGCCTCCCCAGACGATCTTAATGTTCTAGTCGGTTCATAGGTGGAGATGCGTTCGGAGAGGTAAGCAGGGCCAGAACCGTTTAGGGCTTTATAGGCTAAAGCCAGCACCTTGAATTGTGCCCGGTAGCGGATTGGCAGCCAGTGGAGCTGGCTCAACAGAGGAGTGGTATGCTCCCTGAGTGCCGCTCCCGTTAGCAACCTGGCTGCCGAGCGCTGGACCATCTGAAGCTTCCGGGCAGTCTTCAAGGGCAACCCCACGTAGAGCGCGTTGCAGTAATCAATGCGGGATGTAACCAGAGCGTGGACTACCGTGGCCAAATCAGACTTCCCAAGGTACAGGCGCAGCTGGCGCACAAGTTTTAGTTGTGCAAATGCTCCCCTGGACACCGCCGAAACTTGGGGTTCCAAGCTTAGCGAAGAGTCCAGGATCACACCCAAGCTGCGAACCTGCGTCTTCAGGGGGAGTGTAACCCCGTCTAACACAGGCTGTAACCCTATACCCTGTTCGGCCTTTCGACTGACCAGGAGTGCCTCTGTCTTATCTGGATTCAATTTCAATTTGTTAGCCCTCATCCAGTCCGACACAGCGGCCAAGCAACGGTTCAGGACCTGAACAGCCTCCTTAGTAGTAGGTGGGAAGGAGTGACAGAGTTGGATGTCATCTGCGTACAGATAACACCGCACCCCGAAACTCCGGATGATCTCTCCCAACGGCTTCATGTAGATGTTAAATAACATGGGGGACAATATTGAGCCCTGCGGGACCCCACAAGACAATGGTTGTGAGGTAGAGCAGTTGTCCCCCAACAACACCTTCTGAGTACGATCCTCTAGGAAGGACCTGAGCCACTGCAGAACAGTGCCACCAAGGTCCATTCCCGCGAGGCGTCTCAGAAGGATACCGTGGTCGACGGTATCGAAGGCCGCTGAGAGGTCCAGCAGCACTAACAGGGACACACTCCCCCTGTCTAGCTCCCGGCGCAGATCATCCACTAAGGCGACCAAGGCTGTCTCGGTACCATGTCCCGGCCTGAAACCAGACTGTGCCGGATCTAGATAATCAGTGTCTACCAAGAATACCTGGAGTTGTGAGGCCACCACACGTTCCAGGACTTTGCCCAAAAAGGGAAGATTGGAAACAGGCCGATAGTTGACAAATTGAGTGGGATCCAGTGATGGTTTTTTCAACAGCGGTTTTATCACAGCTTGTTTTAAGCTGGCTGGAATTTTGCCTTCCCGAAGGGAGGCATTAACCACCACCTTCACCCACTCGGCCAATCCCCCTCTGGCCTCCTTTAGAAGCCAGGATGGGCAGGGGTCTAGGATGCATGTGGTTGCCCTCATTCCTCCAAGTATCTTGTCCACATCCTCGAGTTTCACCAATTGAAATGAATCCATCAAAATCGGACAAGCAGGTGCTCGTGTTACATCCTCAGAGACTGCCGTTAACATGGTGTCCAGGTCAGAACGGATCAAAGCGACTTTGTCCGCAAAGAACCGAGCAAATGCTTCACAGCGGGCCGTCGAATTGTCAGGGTTCCCATCCGGAGTGGTGGGATTTAATAGACCTCTGACAACTCGAAACAGCTCAGCCGGACGGTTCTTTGCGGACGCAATATTGGCCGCAAAGAAAGATTTCTTTGCCGCCTTTATTGCCACGGCATATGCCCTTAGAATAATGAATTCCTTTTTTGGTTTTCCTTTTTTCAATATTATTTCAAGGATTAGAGATGATGTTTTAGTCAGTTAGTGTTAATGTAGTGTTGTTTGTATCAATGGTTTTAATTTTAGTTATTAGCCTTAGTTTAGTGTTTTAGTATAGTATTTGAGCTTTAGCTTGCTTCAGTTGTATAGACACACACACGTATTATACATAATTAAGGTTTCCCACCTTTTGCTTGTTTCTTTCCCTCTTTCTCTTCAAAGTGTTGATGCATTGACTGTATTAAAACTAGTAAATAACCTTTTTTTTAAAGAAGTAAGGCCTCTGTATCTAAATTCCAGGCATTTTGATTTTTTTGTATCAATTTCTGTGCTTCATCAATGTAGGATAATTATTGATGACAACACTGTGGACAACACACCATATATCTGATGATTGTCCCTTTGGAATCTGTGATCTAGAGTCAGAGTAAGCTTGCAGACAGTTGGGAATTTAGACAGAGCCACTTTGAAATATCACTTGATTTGTAAGTGGTATGCATAAGATACACAGGACTGATTCCATGGAATCCATATATTTGCAGTTTAGGCAGTGTTATTTAAAATTATTAGCTACCAATCTCTACAAAAAAACAGGATTCCATAAGATGTTGTCATGTCAATTAAAGTAAAATGTTGTACTATAACTGAGTTATATGAGTTACATGGGTCAGAAATCACCACCTGTAATCTTAATGTTTCAATCATATCAGTCAGAATCAATACATATAAATATGACTGATCTTTCTAACATGTTCAAATTTTAAACCCCAGTGTTTCATGCTGGTATTAAATATTTCCAGAGGTGTTTTAAGCACACTGACCAGAATCCTGTTAGAGATATACCAAATGCATATACTCTGTAGTTACGGTGCTATGCAGTGATTTCGTCCTGATCTACCCAATCTCCACTTGCCAGGAACCTCCACTGCAATCAATGGGGGTCTGTTCCCTGTCAATCAGGAAGCGGTTGACTAATGCACCCCTCCCCCACTTACCATGAATGATCTTTGGTGCCACAGGCAAAAGCAGGGCTGCTATTGCAATTCCCTCTCATGCCATATATCACTCACACAGGGAAGGTAGGACTGTCAGTCAGCAAATTCTGAATGGCAGGAAAACAGACCCCATCAATTGCAATGGCTGCTATTCATTTGGTTCCTACCACCTCACCACATTGTTTTTTTCCTCTCTCCCTTTTCACTTCTGGATGGGGCCTGCCAAGTGCACCATCAGACAATCCTAGCTTGGCCCATCCCCCATTCCTGAAGTGGAGGGGAAGCGTCGCAAGACACTTCCTCTGACACAACAGAGAGGCAAGTGTGTCTTGGGTAGTTCTGATGGAATTACCCACTTTTTTTTGTCTTTTCCTCCATCTGATGGGGGAAAGGGCAGCATGGCAATGCGAATTGCTACCCTTTCCCCAATCTGAAGGGGTCAGGGCACCAACACGCCTTGTCCCATCCCCATCATATGATGGGGAAGGAGGGAGAGTTCGTGGGGCAAAACTGCACAGCCCCAGGAGGCGTGTGAAGAGGTCCCTAGTAACTGGAGATTGCGAGACTTTCACAGTCCTTATGTTGCTGCTAAATACATTTGTGACTGTCCAAAATGGATTCCAGACATTTTCTCTAGCTAAATACTGGAATACATCCTGACAAATAAGCCCACACTAAGTAACAGAAAAAATGATATCTACATTATAGATTCTTGCAGATTTCATTGCTCTTCATTTAAGAAAATATTATCAATGGGTAATATCATGAAAATAAAACTTATAATTATATATGTCAGGTCGATAATGTCCTCAACATTACAAATCACTCAACAGATTTTACTGTGTTGTTCTGTAATTCTCTTCTGAAGTTCAAGCGTAGGGAGATGCAGAATGTCTTCTTTGTCCAATTGAACTGAGTTAATGAGAAATTATGGCTCCTCATCCTGAATTGTCTCATTGGTGTGATCAGATGTTTCAAAGGAATGGCTAATAAATGCTGCATCTGTCTCCAGGCAACTATTGGTCTCTTATGCTGTAGGAAGGAGGCTGGGAGAGAACTGCAGAAATAACATCATCCTCTCATACTCCTAATTTTAACAACACAGTAATGTGAAGAGCATCAGAAAGAACAATAGATGAATGCAATGCTCTGAAATCAGGGTGCAAATCCATTGTTCCCACACTTCATACAAGTTTCATTTTTGTCTTTGCTTTGTTCCAGACATGAAGTCTGCTAGCAACAATATTTACATATTCTAAAGATAAACATGGTAAATCCAGAAAGTGATAGTAGAATTTACTATTACTTTTGATGTTGCTTTAATCCAGATTAGACAAATTGGGTTTCTTTAACCACAGATAAACAGTAGCATTTCCCCCCATAAAACTTGTTCACTATTCATTTTGGTAACATGGGCATCATTTTTAGTGCTGCTGTCGCAAGTCCTATTCATTCTAGATTTCTAACTTTTTAATGCTAAAGACTCG